AAATAGAAGCCAGAAAACCGTTTTTCTCTTGCTTCTAATTTAAATAGAAGGAAATGAATCGAATCAAATGTGCGGGCGCTTTTTATGTTAACCACAAATTCATGGATACCCAAGATTTACCAAAAGAAAGACACATTGAAATTTTGTTTGTTTATTTGTTGAAACGAACCGGCCTGAGTTGAGATGAGAGTGTGCATTGGTAAGCCAATACCCTTAAATGATGGTATCCTAGACGCGGTTTTTTTGCGTTGGGTTCCAAAAGTTTTGCTTTGTTAACTCGCCACATGGAAAAATCGTATTTCTCACCGGATAAATACAAATCGGACCGCATATTGTTTGGTCTATCATCTATGTATGCTATTCTGATTGCGTTTGCTTGTCAAAAATGAATGCGACGGGTAAACGAATACTGATTCAATGAAATCCAAACAAACAGTTGAAAATAGAATCGAAATAAACACCGAAAACAAAATTATACTACACAATAGGATTATTGCGGCGAATTTTGGACATGAAATTCCAAGATTTTTGTGTCGTGATGAAGTTGGCTTTGCTAGCAGCGTATCACATTCATTTTGAGAATGTTCCATGCCGTTCTCAGCCAAAGCCATTTTGTGTTTATTTTAATCCTAGGGGGTAAAATCATTTTTTTCATCTTTTATATCCGCACGCATCAAGTAATAACTTAGAAATTCAATACTATGCATGTAAATCCGAAATATCCATGTATATTCAACAATATTCATCGTGAACGACAAATGAATATTACTGAATGTGCATAGATATGTCAAATTTACTTGTATACGTATGAAAAATAGAAATAACAGTGAATCAAACCTTCAACCGTAAATTTGAACGATTTTGGTAGATAACGTAATATAATATAAATGATTCTTATATTAAATAAATTAATTCTTATATTCTTATTCTTAATAATATATACATACCACATTCAGTAATATTCATTTGTCGTTCACGATAAATATTTCTGATTTACATGCATACCATTGAATTTCTAAGTTATTACTTGATGCGTGCGGATATAAAAGATGAAAAAAATGATTTTACCCCCTAGGATTAAAATAAACACAAAATGGCTTTGGCTGAGAACGGCATGGAACATTCTCAAAATGAATGTGATACGCTGCTAGCAAAGCCAACTTCATCACGACACAAAAATCTTGAAATTTCATATTGGAACATTTTTTGACATTACAGTCTAATGAATATTATTAAATATACATAGATATTTGAGATTAACGTGCATACCAGTAAATTAGTGCAGATTGTATATAGTCAAAAAATGTCCCAATATTCACCGTAATCCACCAAAATCTGCCAAAATCCTTCAAAAGTGGTTCAAATTTTCGGTTGAAGGTTTGATTCACTATTATTTTTATTTTTTCAGAGTTATTTGCGTTCTGCAAAATCTAGTTTTAATCATTTTCAATAGGAATTTTTCATGGAAATTCACTTAACAATATACATATAACATACAGTACTTAAACACAAAATCAAATAGAATTCCGGGAAAAAATGGGAAAACATTAGTTAAAAAGAAATTCAGTATTTGATTTATTTAACATCCACAATAGTTTCATCGTCATCATATTTCTCGGACTAACAATTTCAGTTATTGTGCGTGCAGCGCGCACACAGCGAGAGAGAGAGAGCTGTACTTCCGGAATTAATCACATATGAATTTAATATGGGCTTGAACGGAAAACTGTATCTAGTTTGCGTGAAATGTTCGTTGTTCGTTGAATTGATTGTAGGATTGCAGTTGCAGATGGATTACTAAACATTTTGCATGGAAAAATGCTGTGGTTCACAATATTCCGTTTCCCATTGTGTAATAGATGCGGTATGGTTTTTTTCCTCGTGTCCGTGGCTCCGAATCATTTATAACTCGATGAAGTGCTGTTATGAATCAGGTTTCATGAGTGCTAGTGTGCTTGATTATTCCCTTCACATACTTGCCATTTATAAATTTTCTTTGAAAATTGCAGATTTCATCGACGCCTCTTTTTTCCCTTTTCCGCCGCTTCTCTCTCCCTCTCTCCTCGGTCGTTTGGTTGTGGAGCAAGAGAAAAAAACTTTTCCCATCGTGAATTCCAGTTGAAACACGAAAATGGTTGGGTTGTGAAATCGCCTCGGCAAGCTATCTTGAATTCGCTAAAATCGGGCTCCTACTATCTATTTCTCCGCACAGCACAGCACATGACATGGCATATTGGGGCAGGTTGACGTGCAACATTTTGCCTCTTGCAAAAATTTCCAACCAAAACACACACACATATTTCCTCATAACCATATGAGGAGTGTTTGCGGAAATGGCACTGTGCATCACGTGCCCAGCATACATGAATGCCAAAAATTTCGTTCGTCGCAGAAAAAGGAAAATTCATTCCGTGCAAAAACAAAGAACATCAATGACAAAAATAGGGTGCTGAAGTGAGACTGTGCAAATAAAAATGGAACCAAATGAGTTCATTCGCATAAACATTGCGGAACACGTCCACGAAGTTTCATACAATTTTGAGAATGCACAGTGCACACCGTTGATATCATCTCGTTCTCTTTATCTTGCATTTTTATTTCATCATTCATTTTTTCGTCGTTGTCGTCTTCGTTCACTTTGACGCAGCGCGCTCGCTCCACACAATCGCACCAAGTGCTTCAAAGGTGCACGTTTTGAAACGGAACACATTTTCGTCTAAATGAAGAACCTAATAAAATGCTGTAATGATAGCCATCAACACTCCTTTGACAAAATGTCGCAATAACTTTCATTTGAAAATGTCTTTAATTACTATCGGATATTCGGACACGCCCGCAGCCACTTTGGTAAAACTTTGACTGCATCACACCACAGAAACCGGAGACACAAAGAATGGCAGACGCAAAAGATCCGCACCCTCTATAACTATATTCCATACTTTAAAACAAATGAGTTCAGTGTGTTTTTTTTGTATTTGGGGGCGAGAAATCTTCATTGAGAATTATTTACACTTCTTTAAAGAGCATTTGCCGCATTTGAATACAAATTCATTCAACGGAAGTGAAGCGCTGACTTGCGATATGCTTTTCAAAATTTGCTTGGCACAGAGAAAATGTGTAGACAAAGGCAAAAGCTGAGAAAAAATATGGTCGACGAAAAACAAATACGGATTTCACAATGAAATTGCAATGTAAAGTGCTCACGTTTTTGCGTATGCTCAATTTATTTTATATGAGAGTTGTCATTGGATAGGTTCTCTCCGGGCGTCGTTTGCAAAAATTCAATATGGAACGAACGTTAGCACATGTCATACTTTTCATCCGAATACATATTTATACATTCTGCCTCTGTCTCTGCAGGAAGCAAATTAGTGTTGGTATTAGACTAGAAAATATGGATCGGCTTCAATGAACGTAACGTTCATCTATTCTTTCTTCTCATTTTCATTGCAAAAATATCGATTTCTGGCTAAGCAGTGTATGGCGATGCTACCCGTTCACAGCGTCGGATATATACATATCAGAGGAAATCACATCATTGCAGTGGATATGATGTGAAAACCGCAGGCATTCACCACGTAAGCCAAACGCATTCAATCAATTTTGCGAATAAATCATGTAAAATATACCCCAAAGTTAATCTATCAAATGGTGTGTGCAGTGTGCACGTGTATGAGTGTATGTGGCAACCAGTAATTTTACGGCTGTATCCAAAGTATACGACGTGTGTGGTTGTGCATGTTAGACTCATCTAACACCAACGGCTGGTCATTAGCGTATCAATATTTACATGTGCTTCCCGAACGCAAACAAACAAGTGTACTGTACATGCAGTGTATTATGGATGAGCATATAGTTCAAAGAGATTTGGCTGCAGCACAAGAAGCAGGTAAAATTCTACGCAGCATAAATTACATGGTAAACATTGATTTTCGTTCACCTATCGATTGAAGCCATGAGGGAAACTCACTCAGGAATCAAACGAAGTTCACACATTGAACATTCATCATTTCTTGACTTTATTGGCTAGGACCCGTAACCGATGTTTCAATATTTCCCTTGGAACCAAGTTAAAAATGTTGTAAACCACTGCAAAGGCACCCAATGTAGATTTATCGAATGTCATTTCATTGACGTATTCATTACGGTTTACGGAAACTGCTACTCCATGTATGAATAATGACGGATTTGTGTTCACTCAACTGAGTATGCACACAGTGCCGCAAAAACAACAATCATGTGAGAAAGTTGATTGGCTATTTGTCAGATAAATTATAACCAATCAACTTATTTGCAGCAACTTTTTTCTTGGTCTGGTTTGTTTCTCTGCAATTCCGTCACGTTTATTTTTCGAAGCCAGAACTGCAAACCGAACGATTGTTCATACTTCACATGGTTTGAAGAGTTGAATATTTGTTGATAAGTCACGTAATTATCTTCTATTTTGAATAGTTGAATGTTTATTGATAAGTCACGTAATTATCTTCTATTTTATGTTTGTAAAACTGACAAGCATAATTACGTGACCATTCAAGGTCAACTGAACAGCAACCATTAGTATATATAAAGCATATTTTGTAATGTTTCAATCAGTTGTAAAATAAACCTCAAACACAACTCAACTCAAATGTTTTTAATACAGAACA